AATATATATATATACGGTAAGTATGAACGTGGCGCCAGCAAACAAATTTTCTACCAAAAGACTAAACTAAGACGCAGGGAATCACCCTTCCCAACAAGAAAGAAAAAATAACAGAAAAAAAAACAGAAAAAAATAAAGGAAAAGAAAAATGCTCTTCGACAAGGTTGCAATATTAATAGATCTAGATCTAGAATCTAGTGCTATCACCTTGTGAAATCTACCTTGATTATGTATAGATATATTGGTAAAAATGTTCACACATGATATGTATATATCTAGAGCTATGTGTTTAACTATGGATATGGTAATAATACAATCTGATTGCAGTATGGTTTCTATCACAAATTAACTAGATCTAGTCAAGATTCTAGATCTATCAAACGACAATTCTCTTCAGGCTTAGCGTAAGCGTACTTTTTGAATCGTGTGTTAAAGTTGCTGCTTGACTGATTGTTTAAATGGGATGATTGGGTGGTATTCTAAACGATAGGCCTAGTCCCAGAATAAAACAGCTCCAAAACGTGTCAACTTTAACTCAGGCACGACTAGCTTTTTATCAGTTAAAGCCAGGCCAAGCTGTGGAATCGATCGGTTACCTCAAAACTCAACTCGAAGCAGAACACACAGGTGTGTGCCATTTTCTCATATCATGTAGCTAGATTTAGATCTATCAATTATTCACGTCTGCTCCGCACGGAAAAATAAGGGTTGCTAGCTTCCGTGTGACAATCAGTATAGAAAGCAGTGTGTAATGTTCATCAAACAGTGTGTAGTGTGTCAGTGTGTAACATCTTTTCTCTTTTCATCAAGCAAAAATCGATCAACGTGTCGTGTGGAAACCACCAGGATCCATAAATAGCTCTTACCATGAACGCTCGAATATGGACGAGATGTGGTGAGACTGGTTCTATAAAAAGAATTAGCCTGCGCCTAACGTTCAAAGCGGTGAGGTCATAAGACATGCGCAGACTGTATGGGAAATCCCCGCGGAAACTCTCCAACACTCCATGATTAGCTAACACAAGTCACGTGGTTCGGGACTTTCCCATGGAGTCGGTGCTTTCCAGATTATTTTGGATCCCAAATGATGAACGTTTGATAAACCCGAATAGGGTTTTCTGTCTGTTCTTCTTATAAATCAGTACATCTACTTCGAGGAAACAAGAAAATGACATTTTTCGTTCTAACATGGATTCATTCCAAACATTGTGCTGACGGTTTGTATTGAGTCGCAATAACCAACATGGAGGCATCCATAGCGACCTACTTTTCTTCGTTATTCGCGTAGCTTACCAACAATTTACCACGCATTCAACATGGACGAAAAGGAACAGCGAGACCGTATGGCGGCTGCTGAGGCTCTGTTTATGATATCTACTCGGTCAGAGAAAAACATAATAAATCAGCCTACGAGAATATCTCACAGAGGTCGAAGAAAAAAATCCCCAGACCCACCCGAAACTGTCTTTATCGACGAAGGATTGACAAACACTTACGAAAGTGCACCTAAACGGGGTCGAGGGAGAGGAAGGGGTGGACGCGGTCGTGGTGGTGATGGTGGTAAAAGAAGAGGCAGGGGCACAGAAGCGTCCTCCAACTCTAAGAGGGGAGGAAAGACAGGGCGTGGTAAATCCAACTCTGCTAAGGGCAAGCAACACTTTGATGAGTATGAAGAAAATGGTGCAGAGATGATGGAGACAGATATTGAATTACACAGTGAAATCAGTGTCCCACACCCTGCTGTTGGTATGAACTCAAAAAGCAAAAGGAAGAACAAGAGAGCTAGCTCGTCACCAAAAGCGAGTATTTCGTCTTCTATAAAGACAGAAGACACGGAAAATCAAGACGCTTCAGTGGAAGGGCATGCTGTTGGTTTTACAGGCGCTCATATCGATATTCCCATCCAAAAGTCGCCAAGCACAAACCACCCTCCTCACCTTCCTTCTCAGAATCTTCCAAGCCTGAGTCTGGTGCCAGGGTTCAGACAGGTAATTTGATGAAAGCAGCTCTCGCTCTGTACAGTCTAGCATGCACATTGCAGACACACACTTAGTGAACAGATTTCCAGGTCCTGAAATTTTCCTTACAGTATTTCTTTTCATTTTTCAGGCCTAAACTATTGAAACACACAAAGTGAAATTCGATATATCTAGATCTAGAATCTAGATCTAGATCTAGAATCTATATAACACTACAAAAATTCCATGTCTCACCAATTTTGCAATGTGCGTGCTGGGCTGTAGGCTTTTATAATTAAAAGAAGCCAGATCATTTAGTACACTTTTTTTTCTTAAATATGAATATAAATCAGGAATTCAGTCCCTGGTTTCAAATGATTTCTCTATCTAGAGACTTGCAAAATCATCAAATAGGGTCTTTTGTGTCTGTATTTTATGCCGAGTCAAGTGGTGTAATATTGTGGCGTCCTGAGTATGCTTCATGTCATGTACATGATGATATATTTATATATATAATAGGATAGAATAATATAAATTTATTAATCACTGCTGAGTCCAGGTCCACTTGGTGGTCTACGGCGATGCTGTTCTCCCCGACAGTCTCGGACCAGTCTGACAACAACTGCTTTACTTGGTGGTCAACTAATCTACTCTACAATCCACAGTACTGAGCCTTTTCCATAGACTGCACATATTCAAGCTTTGGTCTGTCATTGGCTGTATTTAAAATCATAGGTCATAGGCTTTTAAAAAAATTGTAGATTGTTGGGG